ATGTCGAATCCAGTTTTATGTCACGTAAATAGTTCCATTTTATTGATTTTTCTTTATAATAAAAAAACAAGAAAACGAAATTCTTAAAGATCCTTTTATATCAATGAAAATTTTTTTTACCTATAGTATTTACTGATTGATTGTATTTGTTGACTATCTGATTTAATTCATTGATACTTACTTGATTTAATACTTTATTAATATTTTGAATATCTTTATCTAATTGTTCCATTTGTCGTGATAATTCTTTAAGATCACTTTCAATAAATGCATTTAAATTTCGTTTATCATTAAGTTCTTTTCCAAGATTTGTATGACGTCGTTTTAATTCAGATTTATATACATTAAATATACATAGAATTTTTTCTTTAACATCTTTTGTATGTTGATGTATTAATTCAATTATTTCATATTCCCATTTATCAATATATTCCAAATGTTCATTTATTTTTAATTTGCTCATTGATATTTCATTCGTAGCTTGATGTTGTTTAATTAATTCATCGAATTCATTTGATAATTCTTGACGATGTTGAATTAAATGAACAAAACAAAATAAATCTTTACATCCAATACAATTTGCTATACAGAATGATTTTTTTGTTTCTTCAGGACATAATTTACATGAAAATAATCCATCGGAATTATGTTCGACCATTAGTCTGCAAGAAACATTCGAATTAGAATTACAATGAAAAATTTTCTTCCCTAGGTTTTTTTCTTTTTTTGTGTTATTAGAAGATAAAATTTGAAAAAGTACATATGCATATTAAGAAAAAGAAAAACACGCCAAACGACAATCAATTATTAATTATCGACTAGGTCAAGAAATGTTTGTTACTCAGCTCAATATGTCATAAGAGATGAATTACATATCAAATAGAAGTATTTTTCACACTCATGCGAATCATAATAATAAAACTTGTAAGAAAACAAAATATGGAAAGACAAGAGAAAAAAAAATTGAATAATCGAAATAAATGCATTAAATCTATGCATATGGAATGAATAGTTTATTTTATAAATATTATCAATGTTAATTATCAATCACTGGGTATATCGCTATTATTCTCCGATGATAAAACTTCATTAACTGATGAATTTTCAGTCGGATTTTCTTCGGATTGATTAGCTGGAGTAGGTCGTTGATAATGAGCATATTGTTTGGCTGATTGTTTTGTTTTATCTGTATCTTTATCTTGTTTTCTCCAAAGAAAAATTTCCTAAACGAAAAAAAAATTATTTTTCTTTCTTTTTTTTCAAAAAGAAATCTCAATGACTTGTTGTTTAAAATAACGTCGTTCTTCTTCATCAACTAAAACAAGATTAAGAAAATATCGAACAGAAAATTTTCTTTGAACATCTTTCATTGTTGGTGTTAATTCATAACCAGCCAAGAATAAACGTATTGGAATGCTTTCACCTAAATAAAATTTTTTATTGACAAAAACAAAAAAAAAAGTTTTTTTCTTTGCTTCTCTTTACCTCGAACTGGTGCACCGTCCATGATTTCATATTTTGCAATAGTTTCATTTTCAGCATAAATATTTGGTCCCGTACCTGTATTTTCTTTTTTTATAATAGCTATTTCCATATGTTTAATTTTAATACGAACAAGTAAAAAATATATTTTTCCAACAACAACATCTTTTAAATGATATTTGGATTTATTATATTCAAATTCAATATGTAAACAATCTTCAATACCAACTTCCATTTTAATACTATTATTTATTTCAGGATATTGTGATAATTGTTGAACACATATATCACGTTCAAAAACATTATTAGAAAAACGTTTTATAATTGTTAAACGAAGAAAATATCTATAAGAATTTTTATTTTTATTATTTCTTTGGTTTTTTTTTTGTTTCCATGAAAATTAATTACCTTAATTTAATATTAATACCATTATACGATTCATATGGTTTTTCAACATTTCCAAAATTAAAATCTATTGATGAACTATCAGTTAATTCACCTGGAAATCCAAGTAATTTCGATAGATTTATAAACTCATGAATTGTACTACGATCATTCAGCATCTCTGAAAACAAATTATAATTTAATCAAGATATTGTTATTACAGATGTAACATCTTTTTTTATTTGGGCGTAATAAATTATATCGAAAGGAGCTTTTCAAATGTATATTGCTTGTTAAACACAAGTGTTAGCAATTAAAAGCAAACAAATGCTTACAGTCTTAAAGGGAGTCTTCTGAAAAGACAAGAAAAACTAAACTGATCAAAGTTTTATTATGTTCTTGATGTTCGAATTTAGTTTTAACCAGTGGCGTATAGAGAATAACATTTTTAATATTTCTCGAATAGTCTAAATACTTCCTTCAACTATAAAAATATTTTTTTAAACAAAAGAATCACCTATCAATTCTATATAAAACTATTCATTTCTATTTGTCTAAATTTTTGCAGTAATTTCGAATTTGGTTTATTGAAAAGTGAATTATCTTTAGAGATGAATAATGTAAAATACCCTTTACATTACTGTTGTGTTAATTTTTTAATGCATTATTTATCTGTATAAATCATTAGTTATTTATTAATCTCGATTTAAACTTATCAGACTATATTGTATGAGATGAACCTAAATCAAGCAAAATTTAAATAATAAACAGCATATAGTTGTACGAAAAAGTTATGTTTTGAAAATTATAGTGATTAAGCGAATCATTTATTGCATCTGAGAAAAAAACCTACTGAACTAGATGAAAAGATGATCAGATTATTCGAAAAATCTCGAAAGAGTCATTGTTTTATACACTATTCGTTAGACTTTGCTATTTGTTTTCATAGAATAGTAAAATATTGTTAGCTTGTATTTTATACATTCTCAAATAATTCTAATTTCAATTCTTTTTCGTTAATATGAAATCTATCTCAGACATGATCAACTAGCGATCATGCAAGGAGGAAAAAACTCGCTTGAAATAATACTGACCGATTTGTCCAATAAATTCCAATCGAATTCCTTGATGTTCTACTTTACTATTTTTCTTTAATTTAACTTGTACCTAAATAAATTTCTAATAAAATTATTAAATTTTTATTTAATATATTTTATTTTTACCGTTCCACTAACATCTTCACCATCATAATAAATATATTGTGATGATCGTTTCGTATCATCAATTTTAACATCAATCTGCTTTCGTTGACCTTGAGGATCAAGTATAAAATCTGCATCAACTTTTGATCCTAAACCTAATATATCCATTATGATATTATCTATAATTTAAGAAAACAGAAATATATTTGTATAACTACGAAAAAGAAAATTGTTTTTTTGATAAGAAATAACTTATGTTAAATATTCTTCTAATATTTAAAAAAAACATAATAAATTCAAGTAAATACATATTCTCTTATGAAATGTATACTTTTCGATTGGTTCAAGAACTATTCCTATTTAATGAATGCTACTTCGAAGATATGAGATGCTTTTTTTTTTATTATTGTTATTCGGCAGCTAGCATAGCTTAACATTTCTCGAGTAATCTCAATAATGATCTTGCGAGGGAACCACTCGAGACGATGCCTTGCATTTGAGATGACATCTCAGTCCTTAGTTAGGGCCTCTCGAGACTAGAAGAAACCTAGAAAGATTCTTCCCTATGTATTGCTCTTTTAGAGTTATGGCCATTACACTGAATTTTTTATCTTTGGCACGAAATTTATAAACAAACCAGACAAACGAATTTTGACCGAAAACTGCTTATAGACAGCTCTCGGAGTCATTAAAATCTGCTAAAAATTTCAGCGAAAAAAAGTGGTCGCTTCTCAAGATATCAAATTCACAAAAAACCATAGTATTCTACCAAAAAACGGAAATCTAGGTTTTTTTTGTGGATTTGATATCTCGAGAAGAGATCACTTTTTATCGCTGAAATTTTCAGAAGATTCTAGTGACTTCAAAAACTGTCTATAGACAAAGTTGTCGGTCAATATTCGTTTATCTGATTCTTTTATAAATATCGTACGACAGGTAAAAAAAATTCAGTGTAACGGTCATAACTATAAGAGAACAGCACATAGGGAAGAATGCTTCTAGTCTCAAGAGGTCCTACGTAATGACTGTAGTCTCATCTCAAATGCAAGGTATTGCCTCGAGTGGTTTCCTTGTCAATATATTTATTGACTCATACTTTTAGAATAGAACTCATCGGTCAGTTCAAGATCTATCGGACGAACTCTCTAATCGAGACTCGATAGGAATAGCTCGATGGCTAGCAATAAAATTGTTTGTGAAATGACGATTTATCTTATAGAAAAACAAACTTTTAGTTACAAATAAATCAATTTTTCATTCATTTATAAATCGGCTATTTCTATATGGTTATTGTGATCATTTTATATTATTATTTTGCGTTACATTATTCACTATATATAAATTTTGTTTATTAGGCAACTAAGCACATTTGTAATCTGTATCTTCTACTTGTTCTCAAATTTTAACAAAATAGCACATGAAGACACTTAAATTTTTTGTACAGACCGGCAATCAAACCAATTGTATCAAAAAACACCCACGATAGACATATATGAAAGATCTATATGAATTAGTACTAAAAAAAAGAATAAATTATTATCTTTCATTCTTCGACGTTGAGTTCAACACGTCGATTGGTTTGTCTAAAAACCAATGAAATTTTGCTGACAAATAAAACTAATATTTTTTTTTCAATATAATAAGATATTATATTTGTTTATTCATAATTATTTATCATAATATATGAAAATAAAAATAATATATTATGATTATTTTGATAATATTCAATGACTCACTTCTTGTTGCCAAGGAAGATCATTCGCTTCTATGATTAGAGCAATATAAAAAAATTTTGTCACATCTTTTTTTTTTCTTTTCTGTGCGAGTTTATAGATTTTGATTGTAGCAACGGCGAAAAAATGACGATGACAACGATACAATAACTAACTAAACGAACGATCGACAGTCAAAAAAAAAAAGAAAGAAACCATCATGAATAACGATCAAATTCGTCCATCATTATCACCACAAGATTCTGCAGCAATGCTTGCTCAGTTACAACAAAAAAATCCACAAATGTATGCTCGTCTTCAAGCAATGCGTTCTGATATAACAGAAACAGCATATGAGCATTTATTGACTGCTGTTGCTGCTTCTACTACTAATTCAAATGGACATGGACATGGGCATGGACATGGACATGGACATTCGCATACTCATTCTTCGTCGTGTGCACATTCTAATTCACAAATGCATTTTTCTCAACCTGTACCTGATGCACCTCCAAAACTAGATCCTGCAGAAATGAATATTGTTCAAGCTGTACAATATAATGAAATAGAACGAGTTAAACAATTGATTGAATCAGGCCAAGCTGATGTGGATGTACCGGATAATGAGGGATGTTATTTAATGCATTGGGCATCAATTAATAATCATGTAGAATTAGTAAGATATTTAATTGCAAAAGGTGCAAAAGTGGATACTGTAGGCGGTGATCTCAAATCAACACCATTACATTGGGCATGTATGTAGAATTTTCATTTATAATCAAATCAATATTGTGGAGAAATAGTTTTCATTCTCCTATAAACAGATTCGAGAGAGAATAAATTATATAGCCACGAATTCAAGGGAAGCATCTACCGATTGCGCTTGGCATTCTCATGTTTGTTTTCAATTTATAAGGAATAAAGTCTGTTAAGCATTAATGACAAGTTTACATTCCGAGTAATTTTTTCTGTAGAAAAAAAAAATGTATATAATGACTATAAATACCTTTGTAGTATTAGTGTAGTTGTTGCAATTAGTTAACAGAATTTTTTCTTAGAAAATTATATACAATTAAGCAAACAATGTTATTAAATTATTATAAAATTTTAATTTCAAATTATAGTTAACATCATCAGGTCAAATTAATTTTTTTATTAGATGATAGTATGTAATAAATCACAATCTATTTTCAAAGAACTTGACATCACCTTTCGATAATTGCTCTCTAATTCATTCTATAAAAATAATAACAAAGTTCAGATATATATAGTTAAATATTTTATAATTACCGATTAGGAAGTATAAGTTTTTTCTTATAATGATTTTTATGAACTGACTATGAGTTTTTTAAATTTATTTAGTTTTTTTTTATATAAGATCTTGTAAACGATACCAAAATTTTGATCGATCGAGTTCGAGTTCGATTTCAGGTCTAAAAAAATTTTATCGGTTGGGTCCAGATTCGGGTTCGAAAATTCTTGGACTTGATGGACTCCATTGTCGGGTTCGAGCCTGGAAATTTTGAACCCGACGGAGTCTAACTCATTCTGAATAATTTTTTTTCTATCATTATCATTACTTTCAGTATAAACATAGTATATTCTGTTGTCATATATATGTATAGGTCGACAAGGTTGTGTCGAAACCTTCTTTCTTCTTGTTGATAATGGAGCAGCAATTGACTCACTTGATATAAATGGTGTTCAACCAATTCATCTTGCAGCTCAATATGGTCAAATAAAAATTCTTGCTTATTTACTTGGTTCTGGTATTGATGTTGATTGTCATGATGGACGAGATTTTACACCATTAATATATTCATGTATTGGTCCATCAGCAAATTATGTTCCATTGCCAAATTCATCACATGTTTGTTGTACACAATTTCTTTTAACATTTGGTGCAGATGTTAATTATCAAGAACCAACACGTCAATTTTCTCCATTACATTTTTCAATAAATAGTCAAAATTCAATAAGTTTTGATGCTCTATTAAAAAGTCCACGCATAAATATTCATTTAAAAAATAATGATAATTTAGATCCAGCAATTTGTGCACGTATTCGACGAAACTTAGATGCTGCTAGTATCCTTGATGACCGTATAGAATCAAGTAAAGTAAATATAAAACCAAAATTTTTACAACGTTTTTTTACAAATGAATATAATCGAAGATGGTTAACAAGATTTTTTATGTTATTTGTTATGACATTAATTGGTTTATCAGTTAATGAATATGAATTTAATTATTGGATACGTATTATATTTCCAATTGTTATTATTTTTGGTTGTGGACATTTATTTAATTATTTTGTATTTGATACCTATACTAAAGATAATTTTGCATTTTCATATGTGCTATCATCAACATTATTAAAGTATGTTACTTATTGGATTTATATACAAGAAAGTAGATTTACAATAATAGATTTTATTTATCATTTATCAACACTTTATGGTCTTTATTGTGTACATTGTTGTAAAAAATTAAATCCAGGATTTTTAAAACAACAAACAATGACTATTGATGGAAATAATTTAACAAAAGAAAAAATTTGTATTGCATTTGCACGTGATCCAAGATGGACATTAGATCATTTTTGTGTTACTTGTCTTATACGTCGACCATTAAGATCAAAACATTGTCCTGTGGATAGAACATGTGTAGTAAAATTTGATCATCATTGTACTTGGTAAGTTTAATAGAAAATTATAATTTATATGTACATAAGATATTCATCATTTGAAGAAGTTAGAAATAAATAGATAGCTAAAAAAGAAAAAATTTTGCATTTAAAAGAAAAGAATTTATAGTCAAGACTTTTTTTTCTATTTTATGAATTTCTGATATGATCTTTTTCGAAGTTTGAATTAGACGTAGTATAACTACACATTTTGTAAGTTTTTTACTTTTCTGTTGAAGTTGAAATTCTGTTCTTTGAAATTTTTCTCTTACGAGAGAAGTTACTTAAGTGTGACTCGTGTATCGAGCTGATATTGTGTTCATAAGTAAGCTTCAATGAGACTAGTAGCAGACTATAAGGGTGCGTCATCATGCCCGCGTTCTTCCCAAGCTATTAGAATTTTACTGAATTTTTTTATCGCTAACAAGACATTAGTGAAAAAATCGAATTATGATATTTCAACCTGAAATTTTGCCTATAGGTAGATCTCGTGGACATTTTAATGCTCACGAGATCTACCTATGAGTACAATCTCAAGTTGAGATTCCATAATTTGATTTTTTTCACTAATACCTTGTCAGAGATTTAAAAAAATCATTAAATTTATAACAACTTGGAAAAGATAGTACATGAAGATGAACTCTTATAGACTTCGACTAGTTTCATTAGGGTCTACTTATGGATAACATAGTAGTTTGATTGACGAGTTACACTTGGGGACCTTCCTTCGTCAGTAAAATTTACTTGATTGCTTATCAATAAACTTGAGTAGATGAAATAATGTCAAGAAATGAATGTTATCAATTTATAACTAAATCCGAGACTTTCTGAAGTAAATATTCTAATGTACTAAATCGATATGAGCTCAGGTCACCCTAGACGATTTGAAGCTTTTCTAGAAGCGTAATCAGAAGATCTTCACGCTCTTTACAGACATGGTTAGACGACCGAATCCCGCCCACAACTTTTTTTCTGGTTGGGCTACTACAGAACATAGTTTTTCAAAAAAAAACCTTTTCCTTTCTCGGCTTCACATATAAGTTATAAAGTATATTAGTTTTTGAACAAGGTAATGATGGAACAAATTTTTTCTTCATCTTGTTTTTAATTTAGAACTTCTTAGATTAAGAGCAATAATTTTTCATGACAGTAACTTTAATACCTATACTAAGATATATACACTGATCAATACATCAGTCTAATCGTTACTGAAAAATCCTATTTAATGTTTGTCCACATTCCTTCAAAAGAATTGATATAAGACTATACTATCGCATTATTTCGTATGGATAAATTAGGTCTCAAAATTATATATCGTCATGTCGTTAGCTAGTTGTTGTTGATTTTGAATTGTTTGAAATGAAATTTAGTAGTTCATAATAGAGATATTGATGACCTTTTTTTTTACCTGACTCGCTCGAAACTGAATCCGACCAACGTCATGGGTGCAATGATTTTTTTCTTCGATGCACGAGCTATTCTTCGGGTTGAAGAGCTATTAATCCCTCATGGGCTGTCCGTGGGTTAATAAACATTTTATTAGTAAAATATTTAGTTACAAATTCATTAGTTTTTTTTTTTTTATTATTTATGAAATTAAGATTTTTATAATTAGAATATTATCTTTTACTTCTGAACATATACTTAAACATCACAAAATTTCAATTAAACTTTAAAATAACAAATGGTAAAATAAAAGTAACAGTATATGATCCTACATACAATATGAATATAGCAGATATACCTTTAACTAGGATCATAGTGACGATATATGTACCAAAAAAACATCGCAAAAATAACTAGACTACATATCATTCAATAAACTACGTTTTGCATGGACATAGATTTATAATTCTGTGTGTCTAAGAGAAGATCCGCATCCAAAGCGCATTTATATGTGTACATGCTTTAAAACAAATATTTGAATAACTAGAACGAAGATTTCATGAGAACAAATCATAGAAAGAATCAACGTGATGAAGAACGAAAGAAATAGTTAAAACAATTAAAGCAGTGGAGGAACGAAGAAGTAGTATGGATAGTGAACGTAACTATGTGCAGAACGCAAGAATGAAAAGGAAAATGTGTAAACGGGTTAAACCCACGAACATACGTAGAAATATAATCGGATTCGTGAAAATACCTAGCTCGTGACCTGTCAGAAGTTCAATCCACGTAAGAACCACGAGCTAGGTGAATTGAATCAAAACGGGTCAGTTCGTTATATAATAGTCGCATGTTGCGAATCATTTAAATCAATAGAATGAAAAAGAAAATAATTTCGTAGAGAAAGTTGTATTAAGCGTTTGTATTTACTCAATCGAGTCACTATCATTAAAATAGCAGAGAATGCATCAATCTTACTACCATGTCTAATTTTTTTGGAAACGTTCATCTGTGAAACCTTGCTATAGAATACATTAAAGAAACAACTCTACTAAAATTACTATCTGAATTTGAGTTAGGCGTTTAACATTACAGAAAAAAAATACATTGTTATTAAACATTTTTCCATAATTTTATGAATAATTCTTATCTTAGTTACTAATCTAAATGTTTTCCTAAAAACTTCACATTCAATTTTTTTAGGCTTAATGCATGCATTGGTGGTCGAAATTATTTTTATTTTATTCGTATATTAACATTTGGTACAATATCACTTCTTCTATGGATGTATCAAGCAATTTCTCTTATTTATAGTGATTCTGAAAACCATACAATAAAATATTTATTTACAGAAGTTTATGATCCTTGGTTTATTTATATATTAATATTAACATCATTCAATACAATTTGGGTTACATTAATGACAACATTTCATTTAATAAATTCAATATGTTTAGGTATAACATTAAATGAACGTTTAATAAGTTTTCGTTATAGTTATTTTCGTGATGAAAATACAGGAAAATTTACAAATCCATTTCGAAAGCAATTATTTAAAAATTTTCTTGAAACATTTGGTTTATTTCGTTTAATGTCATTATTTCGTTATACTCGTATTGATTGGTCACAAATTTATGATATTAACCAAATTAGTGGAACAAAAATTAATTAATTAATATTTTTTTTCTTTATGTCTTCGTCCTCTTTCTCACTCTTTTTAAATGACTATCTCTTCTTTTTTTTTTGTGTTGATTTTCTATAAAATATCATCTTGACATTAGTTTCATCACATACAGATGCTTGTTACGCACAAGAAAAAAAGGTCAAATTCAAAAAATGATGTAATCTCTTGAGAATCGTTTTCCGAAAAGTCAATTGAACAAATTGATGAGACATTAAATGATAATTGAATCGAGACAAATCAACGATTAGAAAATATAATAACAATTTTCCTAGATAATATCGAAATTAGAGGAAAAAAATAGGAAGTATTAGACTTCCTTATCGTAAGTTAAATATTCTACAAATATATTTACATTATCAATCGATGAAATTTGAAAAAATGTACTTAAAAAAAGAAGACATTCATAATAGCTTTTAATATATATTTAATATGCTTGAAATTCAAGACTTTTATAATGATGTCTAAGTTTTAAAGAAAAGAAAAGCTTTATTTATTTGTATTATAGAATAATTAATTATTGAAACATTGATTAATATAAACCGGATACTGAACATTTGATTGCATTGACACAAGTTGAATGTGATGGTTTATCTATAGCCTATATTAGATATTTAATAAACAAGAGAAACTCCTTCAATCTATTGACGTCAAATCAATGAAAAGCTTCGTTCAATTGGAAGGATTATTTGATTTATATTAAGTAAGAGAGCGATCAAGCTATTGAACGAAATAATCGACATCACGGATAGTTGAGTTGAGTTGATAATCTAAAAGCTCAAATCTTTTGTTCGAGAATGACAAAGAAGAATATCGAAATGAATTCTTATTTGATTTGTAAGAAAATTTGATATAACGAAAACAATATGTCTAAAAAAAGATTTGTCAAAAAAGTAATCGAACAATTGAAAAAGAATTTCTTCGATGAATAATAATTTATGTTAAAGGCTTTTTTTTCGTTATAAATGAACTATTTATTATTTCAATTTCTAAACTTTCATGAAATAAATATTTCATCATGGGAAATTATTTTAAATAAAAATAATTAAAATTGATTCGATATTCTTTTATTAATACAAACATTCTGACATTTGGTGAAAGATTTTACAAAATTATTTCTAAACATTTTAAAAATAAATTAAATTCTTCTTTTATATGTTTGAAATTATTAAAGAAAAATGTCATGATCTGTGAAGAAATATTATCTTATTTTGTTTCTTTTCTGTAAAAAAAAACAGAACGGAAATTGAGTGTTGCAGAATGGGTGCTCGCAGCTATTGTACAAAAATAGATACACAGAAAAAAAAAATATTAGACATGTAGGGAAATGAAATTTCTCTCTCTCTCCCTCTCGCTTTTTTCTTACATAATCAGACATTTTCGAGCTGAAGCTCGATTTGATGATGTATCAGAAGTTGAATTCGTTTTTAAATTTCCTGTTAAATCATTTTGATCAACTAAAGTTCGTGAACCTTTTTTAATATTCGTTGTTGATGATGTTGATGTTCGAGTTGATTTATTTCCATGTAGAACAGGTGTTGTGGGTCGAGTTGTAACAATACCTGTTGTTGTTATTTCAGTTATATTTGGATTACTACCAGTATTTGTTGTTGTTGATGAATTTGAATTTGTTGTTGTTATTCGTTTTCCACCATGAAATGTTGATGATGATAGTGTTGGTGTAGCACCATTTTCTTCAATTAAATGTCCATCTTGATCAACATTAAAATTAAATTGTCTTTTTTTATCTAATTTAAGAAGTTCTTGAAATGCTTCACGTATATTTGTATTTGTTTTAGCTGATGTTTCAATCCATGCACATGACCAATGTGATGCTAATTGTTTACCAAGATTTTCTGTTACTTCACGACATGCAGCTTCATCTAATTTACAACCCATTAATAATATAGGTGTATCATATTGTTGATCAGCTTTTATTTCACGTATTTGATTATATATAGGTTTTAATTCTTCAAGTGTTTGTTTACTTGTTATAGAATACAGTAACATAAAAGCATGACCTTTTTGTATACTTAATCTTTGCATTGCTGGAAATTGATGTGTACCAGTACTAAATGAAATGATTTTTGTTTCAAATAAATCTACTTTTGTTTTCTTTACATACGTATCAAATATTTGTAAAGTAGTTATTTGTTTATTACAAGATACAACCTGTCGATATGTATCTTCAATTGTTGGAATATAATTTTCACGAAATTGTCCATTGACAAAACGAAGAACACAATTTGTTTTACCTTAAATAGAATGAAATAATTTATGAATTTTGTTTTTTATTTATTTTAGTCAGATTTACCAACGCCAGCACTACCCAAAACGACAATTCGATAATCTGTACTTTGATCGGGCATAACCCGAAAGGGTGTAGCGGGATCTTTACTTGGCTATAATAAATAAATAAGAAATAATAAAAAAATAAATTATATCTAATAAATTCAAAACATAGATAAATACCAGATGATAGTCTGCAACACATCGTACAACTGTCAAATACTTCTCATAAAGAAAGAATCAGTATGAAAAATGTATGAACGATAGAGTTTAAGAGAAAAAAGCAAGCACATTTAATGCTCTTTAACTTAGTCGATTTTCTATTTCTTCTCGTTCATCTGCATCTTGTCCCACACGCCTTCTACGCCTCATCAACAGAAGTAAGTCCGTCATTTTTGTTGTCGCCGTTCTCTGGGGAACATGACAAACGCATGCTCATTCTCTCTTTGATTCAAACAACATGCAACTCGAAAATACACCAGTATTCACAATGTTAATTAATCTCTAGCATTTCTTTTTGTTCATCTAAATACATCATACATATCTATATTTGTCAGGTGAAATCGTTAATTATGTATTTTATTTATATTTTTTTGATAATAGTTAATAAAATTAATGAACAAAAACTATTACCAAGTTAATGTAAATAAACTGACACATTAGATTAAATTGTACTTGATGTTAAGTTTTCATTTCATAAATAATCAACTCTTATCTATTGATAAAACAGAATAATAAATTTTATATCTTCATATGAAAATCTCTCGGGTCGCATTAGTCTTTTATATTCTTTTCTTAATAGAACATATGAATAATAATTAAATATATATTATATTGAGAAAGAAAAAAGATCACTTGTCACAAAGTAAAATTATTATAGACTATTAAATATTATATTCTTAAAAATTTCAATCTTACCTTATCAAGTGCCATTTTGTTTCGGTTCGACAAACAAAACAAAATAATGAAAATTGTCTCAATACTGCTTGTATATATTGAATAATAATCGAGAGTACACGCAAGCGCATGCTCACACGCACATCACCGTGAAATAGAGGATCTCGAATTCTTTCATCATCTCTTGTTGTTACTTGCCTTGTCTCTATGTATTCTATCTTTCTTTTTTCTTTTAGTTGAGTAATAATCACCCAGTAGACAAAGAAAAGAAAGAGAGAAAAGAATAGGAAATATTATAGCGACAAAGAAAGAAAGAAAGAAAGAAAGAGAGAATGCACTACGCTTTTTTTCCGACCGAAATATGACCAAGAGAACAAGAAGACGAAGAAGAAGAAAGAACGTTTTGTTTAAAAGACTTCGTTCTATCTAGAAAAAAGCGAATGACACACTGTCTATGGAAACGATTTAGGCAATAATAATAAATGAAGGTTAGAAGTTTTATCGGCTCGACAATACAATCATGCTATCGAGCAAAGAATCAGCACCTTGTTTTTCTTTCTTCTTTTCTTATTTTTTTATTTTTTTAAAGAAAACTGTCATTTCAATTTTTTTTTTCTTTATATGATTCTATTTGTACTAATTGACAAAATAACGACGGTAGTAACGATAATAATTCGACAATTTGTAACGCATGCACACGTCTGGTCAATTCAATCAATATAAAGTCGTTTTGTATCGACATATCAACGACATAGTAGTTTTCCTTTTTCTTTCTTTCCTATTTTTCCTAGTCAATATTCACAATTGAATTCACCCTTATACACTCACTAGAGTAATCGGGTTTGTGCGCTTGTGATAAATATATAAAGGGAATAAAGGCGAAGCTATGCACTATCCTATTTGAAAAAAGATAAGAGCGTTGATGGCAAGTGAATGACGATGAATCGATAATGGAAATGCACTATGTAATTTTATAGGCTTTAATGCAACGAAATGTTACTAGATTATGAGAGACTATATCAGTACAATGCATAGATTTCAATTTTCTAATTGTTTATTGAAAGAAACCATGTATGACACACATCACTTGTCGAGTTTCATTAAAAATCTTCTTTTTTTCCTTTGTAATTAAGGATCCATAAGTTTTAAAAGTCTAACTGCTCTTTGTACGTTTATATTCATGTTCTATAGAATAATTTGATTAAAAAAAGTTTTTTAAAATTACATTTATTTAAAACATTTTATCTTTAGCCCATGTTTAAAAAACAATTCTTTTTCTCTATTTTTTGAATAGATTTTCTTTCTTTTTTTTTTTTCTTCAGTTATTCTAAATATAATGACAATACTTTTCTCGAGGATAAATATTAATATATAAAAGATCTAAATAATGAATAGTTTTATTTCGATTATTCATGTTTTTCTTTTCTATAATCGTGATTTGTAAAAATCAAAATCCCTGAAGAAAATAAATGATTCAGTTAATGGAGAAGCTTTTTTCTAGCATATCGAAAGAACGTTTCACCTAGAATAAAAAAAACAATCAAGAAGAAAAAAATTTTTTTTATTCTAGAGCAAAAAGAAAAGAGTTTGTCTTTGATTAAAAACAGTGATGCAGGACATGTTTTGTTCTAATGTCGAGAATGAACGTATCGAGCATATGATGACATCGGTTAAAGGAATGTCACATTGAATTTAGATTTTTCTAATTTATTGAACCGATCATATTCACATGAATTGCCATTAAATACTTAAAGATTCTTATTTAGTCCTTGATATTTTTTAAAATATGAATCATGTTGTTATTT